CGCCCATTTTCCAAAATTTTATCATAAACGTATTTCCTGGTAAAGAATTATTGCAACCATCAATTTTGAATAAATTAGCTTTAATATTTACTGATTTATCGAAGATTTTGTATTTCTCTAAATTACCGTTATATGGGATGTGGGCGTAGTTCTTGTCCGATTTAAAAAAATTTCGGCCGTTTGGTACACTGTAGTACCAGCGGTTACCAAGATATACACATGTAACCATAAGTGGCGGTGGCTACGCCCATTTTCCAAAAATTTATAATATTCTTATAGTTCGTCTGAAAATTATTGCAAATATCAATTTTGAGTGAATTAGCTTCAGTAGTTACTAAAATATCGCAGTTTTCGTATTTCTGGAAATTACCGTTATATGGGAAGTGGGAGTGGTTACAGTCCCATTTTACCCATTTTCAATACCAACCTACCTTGGATAAATGGAAACCTACATACCAAATTTCGTTGAGATATCTCAATTTTTGCCCGAGTTATCGTGTACACGGACGGACGGACAGACGGACGGACAGACAGACATGGCTTAATTGACTTCTCTATTCATTCTGAGAATTTTCAGTATCGGTCATATCTATAGCACGCCATTTCAAAGTGATATTGTGTACCACTTATGTTTATTTATTTATTTTTAAGAATTTTCAATTAAAATATAGTTCTTTCTCTAACAAAACCCATATAAACCCAAGATTAACAATTTGTAGAAAACTACAAAAAAGTCCAACAAAATTTCATATAATTTGCAAACTTTTTTGTCGGAAGTGTTAGAATTTTTCTGAATACACAGTTTTATAGCCCAATCAATTTTAGTCTGATAATGTGCAAGTTTTGGGGTGGCTAAAGGTTACCGTTGATTTTTTAGAATTTTTTCGCCAAAGGTGTTGCGGTTTTCTTCCATATACAAATAAATTGAGTTTATTCATTATATGGAAGCCAATGCGACGAAAAAAATTCTAAAAAATTAACGGTAACTCGTAGCTAAAAGGCACATTATCAGACTAAAATTGCAGGGGCCAAAAAACTGTGTACTAAAAAAAATTCTAACACTTCCGAGAAAAAAGTTTGAAGTTTAAGAGAAATTTTGTCTATTTAGCTATGGACAAATTAAAAATGTGGCTCGATAGAACCCTTCATGCCCTATTATCTCTTTTGTTACTTGTCTACATACAGATCTCGCTTTAAAAAGCAAAATCATACTTTGTCATTAAATGTAAGACTTTTTTATTCGTTGTATAAGTATAAATATACGTATGATTGCATAAGTATGTAACGTAAAGTATGTACATATGTATGTAGAAATTTATTTTGTTTTTGTAAAGCAAGAAAAATAAATAAAATCACTTTAACATGTCCAAAAAAGTTAGTTTCAATATACATTTGCTAATTTTTTGGATTTTTTCGAATATTTTTTTGATATATTTTTTTTTGGTTGTGAAGCTAAGAAGTGCGATATGGATAGTTAATCACATTAATATAAGTTCAACTGAATGTCTTTTTCGATTTGGGAAAGAATGATAATTCAAACAGATTTTTAAGTTTTCAGAAAAAAAATTGTTTGAAAATTGGAATTAAATCGAATTTGCACCACTAAATTTCGAATCGAATAATCTAATGGTTGGCCAATGCTCGAAATTTAGAAAAAGCGAATTTCAACCCCCCACTATCCATCCCTGTGATAGAGTGCTTTTGCCAAGATTCTGTTAACAGCGCCTTCTTTAATCACCAACTTGATGAGTTCAACTATTTCTTGATGAATCATGCAGGAAAATGTGGGAATTTCGTGGTTTATTTGAAGATTCGATGTTATTCCGGCCATGCTTCTGGCTCCAACAGTGGCTATAAAAACGATTTTATATAACTCGATTCTATTACCTTCCAGGCATTTATTTTATTTTATGCAGCGTCCGTATTTATTTGCGTGTATTTTACAGCGCTTGTATAAAGCTTCAGCACTCTCGTTCACTCACATGGTACACTGAGGGAAATAATGCATAGTAAAAATGAATACTTCATATTTGATTATCGTTTAAAAATGTTCGAATTTAAAAAAAATATTTTCATACAAAATTTATTACGCACGTATTTGACTGTTCACATCTGAGTATATATATGAGTGTACACACGCACCCCAAGCATGCAGAGCCCCACTCTAAGAACGTTGACAACACACAGATTCATACATAGTACATTTTTATCCGCACAAATCGCGTGCTGTGCTGTTGATGGATATTCAACATTTGAAAGGAAGTTTATATGCCTGGGTGTAGCTGAGTGCGCGAAGATGTGTGCCACAATTTGTTGATATCCAAAGATAGTCAGGGTTCGAATTCCACTGCAGGCAACCTGCAAGTTGAATATTTTTTTTTTTTTTAGTTTTGGTCTTGGTTATTCACTTCACGGATGCTTTTTCAGAACGAACGCGGTCATTTTAATATGCGCGTAATTGAATTGAATATTTACCAATATACAGTAATTTCGTTGACGTTTATAGTAACCCTGTAGGGAAACCGCGGACTAGTGAATCAAATTTCTAGTTCCGTAGTAGGTCTTTATCGCCAAAAAGGAACTAGTCTGATAGGAACTAGATCCCCACCAGTCAAAAAACGGCGAAAAGTGGTACTTTTTAAAAACTAATTTTTTCATTTTCACTAGAAATCTATATCTAAAGTGACGAATTTAGAAATGGTTCGGAACTATAGAAAAAGGGATGCAGAACGAACTAGATCTTATTTGTCGAATTTAGAACTAGTTCTGAACTATCGAATAAGGGATGCTGCGGGGGGCTTGTCTACCTTACATAGATATGTGTTCGGCGGCTTTTTCGTTCAAATACGCTTCTATTCTGTGCTTCGCAGATGCTTTTTCATAGCTTGGTAATACAAAACTAAAATTTGTGTTAACATTTCAACATCTTGGGACAGTCTGGAATCTAAGAAATAACACCGGGCACCTCTGCAAACTCAGCTACAGGAAGGATGGAAAAATCATGATACTTTTTTCTTTCGTCTGTCGATTTTAGAACTGTAGTGCGATTCACTAACTTTTAACAATGCGACTTGTCGAGATGTCAGCTAACAATTTTTGTTGTTTGTAGTAACGATTGTGCGATTCATTAACTGTGCTGCCGCTAATGGCCACAAATCCGTTGCATATGCCTAGGCGCTCGTGTGTGCAAAAAGTTGACAAGCTTTTATATGGAAGAAAAAGTGCAACACCCTCCACGAAAAAATTCTAAAAAATCAACGGTAACTTTTAGCGACTTGAAACTTGCACTTTATCAGACTAAAAAAGAACGGGCTACAAAACTGCATACCCGTAAATCTTATAAAGATCCTGAATAAAAAGTTCGAAATATTTATAAACATTTTTTTTAAGTTTGATTTTTTGGTGGGATTTTGTGCAAGCTTTGAAACTTGTATTTTTGTGGTTTCTGTTATTATATAGTAGAAGGAACTATTAAAAATAAAATTATTAAAAATAAGTATAAGTATAAGTAGCAAACAACATAATTTTGAATTTTTCTGCCAAATTTTGCTCGCAGCTGTAAACAAAAAGTTAACGAAAAACATTCAAAATTAAAAATATTGTTACTATGTATTTAAAAAGAATCACTGTATGCACATTTTGTACATATGTAATTATTTTTAGGACTGATTTTATTATGCTAGTGTAATGATGATTAATAAAGAAATATTTAAATATGGACATACATATATGATATTTATACTTTTAACAAGCGATGTACACGTATTAAATTGAAAAATTTAATTATTCAATTCCTTTAAATTCAAGGCATATTCAGTTCCTGTAAAATTAAAAAAATAGACTTATAACCTTTTAACTTCCAGTTTTCTATATTGCTTTACACCCTATTGGAAAATTATAACCGGAATCCATATAGACAAGTTTTAACGAACTATTTTTCGTGCTATTTACTTTATTTTTCTTGTTTTTAATAGTGTATTCTGTGTGTGTGTATTATTTAAACAAAATTCAACAAACTTTCGTAAAACTTCAAGTTTTTAATAAGAATAATAACAGAATTATGTATGCAGTTTTGTAGTCCATTAAATTTTAATACAATAAAGTGCAAGTTTGATGCTGAAAATCCTTTGATTTTTGATTTTTTTTTGCTAGCGGTACTGTGCATTTGTACGAAAAAATTGTAGAACGTACCTTTTACGTTTTATTAACAACACCAATCTAGACGTCGTCAAATTAGCGGCCTTTGTTATCGTTAACGACAACAGCTGATTTGGCGCTAACGAATGTTGTTAGGGAAACGTTTACCGAATAGCTAAATTGTTAAAATTGTCGTTTAGTTGACTTAACAACAACAAGAGGTGTTAAAATCTCGTAGTGAATCGCACCACTGGTTCGGAACTATAGAATTTAGGACTAGTTCAGAACTATCGAAAAGGACATCGTCATGTTAAATTCGCCAGTTGCTTGCATGCAAAAGAGATTTATCACGAACCAGTACTGGGTCTAAATGAACTAGAAGCGCACCAGTTCAGAACTAGAGATTTTCCCCACAGGGAAGATCAATTACGTTTCTTTTTGATTTTAATGTTTTTTCCCCTCAGTGTACTAATTCGTGGATCGATAGCACGTTTTTTGATAATAAAATAACAAATTTTTGCGTATGGAACTGCACCTTTACATCGAAAGAGCCGCGTGGGAAATATGTCCCAAATATTGTAGGGATGAAAAGTTTGCATTGGTTTTTACATATCGACATACATCTTATTGAGGTTGCTCGAACAGCTTATTCGTTGAAGAAAAAAATTAATATGTAACACTCTAAAAGCTTGTAACCTAACCTTTTTCTCAATATCATCTTCTATTATATTACTGTTTTAAAGTTCACTTACGTTATACCTAATTTTTTGTTGAATTTCAATAAAAAATAAAATAATTACAGTATTTACTTATAGGGAAAAGTCTGTGGCGTCCGTAATGTCGCATCCGTACTAATACTTTACCGTTATAGCGATGTCACCCATAGTGTCGCAAGTATCCAATTTTCGTCTAAATCTTAAGACAGTGTGGGTTGCATTCTCGTACCCACGCATAAGAATATAGTCTTGCGATGGGTCCACCAAAGGTTCAACGTTCCCATTTTTTTTAATATGACGGTCCTAAAAAGATAAAAATATTAACATTTTTAAAAAGATTTTATTACAGTGATAATCATTGCAGAATCCTGTTAACGTGATAAGTTTTGTTTATTCGCAATTTGCACAAGATATTTTTTTTCTAGTGCGAAGTTCTTGTAAAAGTGGATGTACAATATATTTTCCAAGGTTTGATTAATAGTTGAATCAAGTTCGAAATCAAATTGATATCCAAGTGTTTCGCAAGTGGAGAAATCAGATTATTTTGCGTGTCCTTTTGTTTGAGAATTTCTTGTTTCTCCAATTGTGGTACACTTTAAAGTTAAAATTGGAAATTTGAACATATATTGGATCTCCACTCGAACTCCAACCCAAATGTTTATTGGGTTTAATTTAGGTTGATATATGGTTCATTTCCAAACGAAATGCAATTTTTTTCCCTCCCTTTTTAAGTATTTTTTATGGCGGTAAATTTCGCGTACGGAATTTATACATATAAAAATATTTGTCCCCGCTCATGTTATTCGATTACACAGGCCGACATTTTTCAGACCCTGGGATCAGCTTACACTTATCCAAAGGTTTTTGACGCGCTGAATCTGAATCCAGAATCAGTTTTGCTCGATTGGCTCAGGTTTTCGAGATATTTTAGCCTTAATTTGCGAAAATCCCGACTTTTTGCTATATTCGTCATGTATTTTCACCAAGAATAGTTCGTTTTTTTAGAAAATTTAATAAATCATTTGAAATTAAAATACTTCCCCTTGATAATGCTGTTTAACTCAACGAGATATCTTGTTTTAAACCTGAGATATTGTTCATTGAAGTTTATGAGTTATGCGACATTACTTCTTTGCACAAATGCTTGAAAGATACAACACGAAAAGAAACAGATTTGTGGTATACGTTTAGGCGTCTTTATTTACATAATGAATGTTTTTCGTATGTTTAGGCTCAAATATCTCGAAAACCTAAGCCAATCGGGCAAAACTGATTTTGGATTCAGATTCAGCGCAACGAAAACCTTTAGAAAAGTATAAGCTAGTCCCAGGGTCGGAACTTTTTTTAAATTTTGTAGGCCTGTGTTATCAACATGAAAAAAAGTTTAAACAAAGAAACAATGAAAAAAAGCGTAAATGTTTGTGGATGACGACCTTAAGTTTTATTGTTTAATTTTATTTTTACCTGAAAAAGTTTATCAACATAGGCTTTCTATTATAATATTGTCCCTCCGAATTTTCCAGAATGCCACTTTTTTTTAAATTTTGCCGTGATATTAACATTAGTTGTTTTGCTTGCCTAAGTGCATTGCAGTTACATAAGAAGTGCAAGAAGTTGTTGATCGAATGACATAAGAAATAACTTAATAAGAGTAATTATTTTGTGCTTTTAAGTGAATTCATCATTGCACCATGGTAAGTACGGCTAAATATTTTCTGAATGGCACCCAGTTTTTTATGAAAAACACTAATAAAATAATGTAAAAAAATAGTTTTTCAAAAACAAGCTTTTCTTTAACATGTACAATCAAAGGATTAAAATAGAGTAGTAAAACAAAAGATTTTTAGAAAGAAAATTTTGTCAAAACTGCACCAAAATTAATAAAACAAAATAAGTTAAGTTTACGTTAAAGTTACTAAAATCTAACTAGTGAATTAGGAATTACTCAGACTCTAATGAAATTTGCTAACAATTTGTATTGATTTACTTCGTTTTTAAAAAGTTTGTCGGGCGAACCTACATATGTATCTGCATATACATATATAACCAATTATGCATATGGGAAAATCTAAAAAACAGGTACACTTTCAAAACAAAAAGTTCATTTTTTTAATTTGTGGGCACACCTATAATTTGTAAATGATTCTATTCGTAATCTCTTAATAAATCCATAAATATAAGTGTAATTGATTTTCATCAAGTGCTTCAAAAGTTAGATGATGAATAAACATTTAGATCGCTGAAATAGAAAACAAAAGAATAAGCTGGGTTCAAATTACGCCGTGCAAGCTTTAAATTTTCAGCAATGACTTTGAAAGTTGAGCTCATGTAACTGGGATGTTCTAAATTCAATGGCATCCGCCGTTTCACCAGACTGGCTCCGGTTTTCGAAATTTAATTAAATTTCAACTATTTTGTAAATAGCTCCCTCAGTTTAAAAGTTATTTTACTAAAATTTTGCACTTTGCCGGTTTTTAATATTACCTTGATTACTCCTTAAAATTATCGAAATAGGTTCTCTTTAACATATAGCTCCAATACAACTTATTACTCAGATACGTGTTTTTGGGCTATAACTCTAGCGTCATATCTGAATAATACATTGTATGCGTGTTATATGTTACAGTGAACCTATACTAAATTTTTACCTGGAGGAGTTGTAGCGCAAAACAACGTCTCGGAACAATCTGTTGTATGGGAGCTAGGTGTTATAGTTAACCAATTTCGATGATTTTAAGAGATAGTGAAGGTAATATTAAAATACAATCGTGTGCAAAATTTTAGTAAAATATCTTCAAAATTGAGGGAGTTTTTTATAAAAGAGTTAAAATTTAAGCAAAGTTTCAAGTACCGCTATCTCTAAAAGTTGAGCCAATCGGGCAAAACTGGGGACGCCATTGAATTTAGGGGGCTCCAATTAAGTAAAAGCAACTATCACAACCTTTGTCGAAAAGAAGTTGATTTGATACCTCGCCTGAAATATTCTGACTACAAGAAGGAGCATCATTAAAAGTAGTAAATCAGCGTTTTTACACACTTTTAGAGAGCATTTTTTTGAAGCATTTTACAGGTATATTTAATGTTATAAGGACTAATGGTTATACAAAGATTTAGATCGTTTCGACGTATTTTCCAAATGTGCCTTCAATTAAGATGTTTTTGGAATAAAAATTACGCCCAAGATCGCAGACTATTTTATCTTTAAAAGTTGGTTTATTCTGAAGGCACACCTCTTGGTAAGGTATCAAATTATTCGTAAATGTTTGTAGAATACAATACATCTTTAAAAACTGTTTAAAATGAAACGCTTGTAGAACTATACGCGATGAACCGAAAATTATCAAAATTGTGAACAGTAGAGTTACAAACTTGGAGTTACTTGCCATTAAGTTATTTTTTAAAGCACACTTTTGTAGTGGTTCTACAGAACCGAGTGGATATTTCAAAGGATTAGGTACTATCTTAGCTCCTCAGCCGATTTCTTCCGAGCATTAAAATGCACGATTTTGCTTCAAGGAATAAGTACCTACAATAGAATTGCGTCTTAAACCAAGAATGACTTTATTTCGGCTCATCGCCGTCTTTTATATGCTTACAATCTAAATTAACCTAAATTCTTATTCCTATGAGCAACCAATCAAATCATTGGTTACTTCCATTTCCCCTACTTCTAATGTGTCATGCTAAACTGTTTTGCATGTTACCTTTGGCGAGTGCTCTGATCGCTTGCAACATGGTCAATATTGCTGACGTAACAAGAACGGTGTCTCAAGTGTTTCACGTGCGTCATAATTATTAAAAGTATGTCAAACGCGGTTTGGACATCGACTTGCTTTCTCGCGTCAGCAATATGCACATGCCTTAGAGTGTTCAGGCACACTACATCCTACCCCTTAAGAAAAATATAAATTAATTGAAATTTCTTAAAATGTAAATTGATTAATATTTAGGTATGTCTTAATCGTAGATTTGTGGTATGATTTCTTATATTGGTGTATCTATATGTATAAATGTCTGTGGACAGTTATTGTGGATAATGTATTCTTATTTTTATTTAGTTACTCCTATCCTTAACTAAGTTATTATTGTGTACAGTTATTTCCTTTTTGTTTTTTAAAATGGTGCTATTTGGTCCATCTTGTCTAATTATTTTGTATGGTCCCTCAAATGGTGGGTCTAATTTTTTTCTATTGCCTACTTTTAAGTAAACATAATCATTTATTGTGAAGTTTGCTTTATTCACTTTTGTTTGCTTATCTTTAGCTCTTAATTTGCTTTCATTCAAATTTCTAGCAGCATTGTCATGTGCATATCTAAGCTTCAGTTTTAGTTCATTCATATAATTGTCTATATCATACACCTTTTCTTTAGCGGCCACTATGTCATTTGTAATGCACACAGTTTGCCAAATACAAGCTCAAAGGGGGAGTACTTCGTGGACATGTGTGGTGTCGAATTATAGTAGTACATGTAGTAGGGTATGAGTTCGTCCCAATTATCCGTGTTCTTGAGTGTCATCAAATATTCATTTAACACCCTGTGATTTCGTTCAACTGAACCCAATGTCTCGTGATGGAATGGAGTTGAATGCACTTTATTTATTTGTAATTGTTTACATATATTTTTTTGCAGCTCATTAGTAAATTCTGTGCCCTTGTCAGTTTTTATTTTTCGCATACAGCCATATCTTAAAATGAATTGCTCGACAATAGCTTTTGCAACGGTTACCGCATCTTTTGTTTCAAGCGGTATTATGACAATATATTTCGTTAACTCACATTGCAACGTTGGCATGTATCGAAATTGTTTGGATGGGCGTAGTGGACCTACTGTATCGACGACGATTTCGTCAAATGACGTCGCCGGTGTGTCCGTCATATTCTATTTTTCTTTTGTGTATCGTGTTACTTTTGCTGTCGCGCATTGCTTGCAGTTATTGACATACTTTATTATCATTTGTCTCATGTTCTTCCACACGTATTTCTGTTTGAGCTTTGCTAGCATTCTTCTTATACCGCAGTGGCCACCATGAATTGAGTTGTGGTAGTCCCTTATTAATTTTTGCATTACGGATTGTGACTCAATTCTTTTTGGCGCATCAAATAGAATTATATCAAGGCATTCATTTATATTTCTCTGCATTTGTATCCTATTAAATACAGTTTTAAATTCAGTTATACTTATTTTCTCAAAGATTTCACTATTCTTTGCAAGCGATAGCTTTCGTGAGCCAATATTGCTGGCTTCGATTAATAGCTCACGTAAAATTGCGTCTATTTTTGACACTGCTTGGTCGTTATATT